AAATGCGTTAGCGGACTTCGAGCATGGACAATTTACCCATAAGCGACGATACCAAGGAGTCAATGTGGTCACTAAAGGAGAGATGGTTGTCCAATATAACTCCAAGGTCTTTAACTGAGTTAACCACTAATAGTTCTTTACCAAGGAACGTTATTGGTGRAAYGGTRCATCGAGATAACATTTGTCGAGAGCCAAAAACATAAAACTGCGTTTTGTCTGGATTTATCAGGAGGGAATTATCGCTACACCAGGCAGCAACTCTCAGTAGATCATTCTTTAAGTCCCCAAGACCTTTGGAAGATTCCTCTTTAAAAAATGTGATGTATAATTTGGAATCATCAACATGACTCAACACCATAGGACTCACACACAGAGCGTAAATCATTGATATAAATATCAAATAACAATGGACCCAGTATTGAGCCTTGAGGCACCCCATGCTTTAACACCAGACGACTGGACAGAGAGATGTTGATACGTACACGTTGAACTCTGTCGAACAAATAGCTTTTGAACCACTTCAATACAGCCGCAGATACACCGAGATTGGCAAGTTTTACAAGTAATCTTTCATGATCAATGCTATCGAACGCTTTGCGGAAGTCAAGTAGTAGTGCTGCGGTGATCCTCCTTTCATCAATAGCTCTATACAATCGACTTGTGAAGTAGATTCCAAGTGTTTCAGTGGAGTAAAGCTTCTTGTTCCCGCTCTGATGGGGTGAGAGCAACGCGTTGGAACTCAAGTAGCTAGTTAACTGGTCATGCACAATTCTCTCAACAACTTTCGACGATCCCCATCTTTGAGGTGTGTAATAACTTCAGCTGTTTTCCAGGTTTTAGGGAAAATTCCACAAGAGAGAGATTCATTGATGAAATTGGTGAGAACTTGGATGAAGTGGGGTAGACCATCTTGATCACTTTATTACTAACCTTGTCATTACCAGGGGATTCGTTCGAAGCCATTTGCATGATGGTGTATTTAGCGAAAGGAACGTGTTGAAAATTAAACGGAGAAATTGACAAAGACGTGTGGCTGCAGCTAAATTCAGAATTCAAAGACAAAGAATCATTGAGCTTTAAGATGAAATCATTGACCAGTTGCTGAGCTTTTTGAGTGGCTTTCTCCCCGACAGAAGAGAAGAACGCGTTTAAGTCATTTGCAGCCTCCATACAGTCACGTGAATATGGCAAAAAGGAGGTACCAAAGGGGTTGAGACAGCGTCGGACAGTTTTCCATATAGACGTCCTGTTTTCTTTGTTGCTCGCTATTTCATCTCTAACGACCTATTTCACCCCTAGCGACCATTGTGCATTCAACTCCTAATAGCACAAAACCTTTTAATCGAAACCTCAACAAAGTATACATTTTCTGAAAGCTGAATAAATGTAAAAACTATTCCTTTTTTCCTTTTTGTAAAATATATTTATCCTTTTAAATTAGAGCGAATTATTCAAATTTTCACCGTGGCATCTTCGCGGAGTTCGATGACAGCCGGTATTGATCGGAAACCAATGCTTATTACCTATCCGAGATCACAAGACATCACTTGTCAAAAGTGTGTCGTCGATTTTTGATTAGTTGCTTTTTTATACGCTCTTATATCACCGGTATGCAAGCCAAAATCCACGATAACTTTGGAAATAAGCAAAAAATAAAAAATTGGAGCCACACTTTTGAAGAACAACTATCCAAGATGACTTCCTCAAAATTTCAGTTAAAT